TTCTTCCCCCCCCCCGCTGCACCAATTGAGCCTGAAACCTGAGCATGTACCCTGACCCAGAATCAAACCAGTGACCCTTTGGTACATGGGACGATGCCCAACCAACTGAGCCACGCCAACCAGGGCTATACTTTTCTTTTATATTAAAATATATTTAACCAGAATTAGGGGAGATTGATTGAGCTGTTATGGTTAATCAAATTTTGGTTATCTGAGGAATAATCAGTAGACCTTTGTGTTGCTCTATTCTTTATTGTTGAAAATCTTAGTGATCTCTGTCAATACCTTTTCTTGCTTTAGTAAATAAATGTTTATTTCCACTACTTGTCCATGAAAGAACCATGTCTAAACTATATCCCAGTTCCTCACACAAGGAAGGTTGGGCATAAAATTATGTGCACAGTGAATACTTGTCAAACAATTTCGTTGTTGCAAATAATCTGATCTTTCTTTGTTTTGGATTTGGCATGCACTATACTGACATTTTTTCCCCCAGTAAGCTGAGCTTTTACATTATGTTGTTTCAAGTACATGTATGTAAGTTTGGAAAACATATATCCAAAAAAAGCAAGGCAGAAATGTTAGCACATAGTAACTTTGAGTGTTTTTACTTTGAAAAAACAATTATTATAACGGGATATGTTTTTTCATTAAAAATTTAAGAATTGCATGTTTTGATAGATTGCGCTTGCTTTAGGCAGGTGTAGGTAGGACTTAAGGGCAATATACATAAATGGCTAAAATATTTTTCTTCTCCCCTACTCCTCATCTGTACATATACTTTGGTATTTTAAATATGTTTTATATTTACATAGTTTCTTTATTTCTTGTGGTCTATTTGCTAGAGAGAATTAATTTTCTGAAACTTTTTTGATTTATAGATTGGCCAAAGAAAAAATGATGTATGAAAAGGAAGCAAAACAACAAGAAGAAAAGATTGAAAAAATGAAAGCTGAAGATGGTGAAAATTATGCCCTTAAAAAGCAGGTAAACCCTTGCTGTGTGGCTCAGTTGACTGGGTGTCATTCCATGCTTTAAAAGGTTGCTGGTTCAATTACTGGTCAGCACACATGCCTGAGTTGCAGACTAGATCCCTGGTAGGGGCCATACAAGAGGCAGCTGATGGATGTTCTGCTCTCACGTCAATGTTTCTCTTTCTTCCTCTCCCTTCCTCTCTCTAAAAAAAAAAAAATATTATTTTTAAAAAGCAGGTAAAATTATATCTTAATAATAGTTAACATTTACAGAATACTGTATGAACTAATTTAGTAACACCCCTTTCAGAAGGTTCTATTTACTTCTTATTTACTTCTTTACTATTAAAACCTTCATTTAAAAATGAGGAAATTGAAACACAGGTTAAATAATTTGCCCAAGGTCACACGACTGCTAAATGGCATTTTGGACACAGGCGTTTTGGCTATGGAATTTGTACTCAACCATTAAGCTCTACTGCCTCTCCAATTTTAAGTATTAAATATGAAAATGACCTAATTTTATATTAAATATATTTAAATTCACAAATCTGTTCCCCAACTGATGTGAAGACCACCAAAATAAAATATATTTTACCTTTTTCAGTAGCTACTTCTGATTATCTTCATGACAAATTTCAGTCTCCTTAGCATTGCATACAAGGCTTTTCTTGATTTTGATACCTGCTTATCTCTCCAACTTATCTCTTGCCAGTTCCTACCTGGATCTCTTAGTTTCTGCCTTTTAGTTTCCTGAATATGCCCTTTCTTCTTTGCTTCTGAGATATTTGCATATCTGGGGTGCTCTTCCTACACCTGCTATCTACCCTCTCCTTATTAATTCCTATTCATCCTTTAAACCTCCCCTACACTCCACCTCAGTGCTGAGTTAAGAGCCCCCTCTCTGTGCTCCCATAACACCTTATTTACTCCCATCATAGCATTTATTGAATATTCATTCTTGGCTAACACTTGTTTCATAATTCCTCAAGAAAAAAAGAGGCTACCAGGGAAACTTCCTCATATTCCCAACACAAAATCTATCAACCTTCCTACATCTGTACCCATACCACCTTCTTTCATATTAGAGTGCATTATGTGCCCTAGCCCTTGTTACATCATTAGTGACATTGTTACCACTTCTTTCCCCTCATGGTATATAGCTTCAACAGCATTTGACACAAGTAACCACTCTCTCCTTGAAACACTTTTATATTGGCATCTTTAATAGAATAGCCTCCTGGGTTTTCCTTCTATTGCAGTGCCATTCCTCGGTTTCCTTTACTGAAACTCTCCCTTTCTCCTTTGTCCCTCCTCCTCCTACCTACCTACACTTACCTACCTACCCCACCTCTACACACACACACATTTTTTAAAAACCTTTAAGAGTTCTAAAATCCCTCTCTAGGTAATCTCCTGCCCTCCTATAACTTTAAGTACCATCTTTATGCCCATTTATTTATTCATTCAACAGACATTTATTGACAAATACAGTTCCAGGTACTCTTTTAGTCATGGAATTAATAACAAAACAAACAAAACCCCCCAAATTCCTGTTTACTTGGCATTCATTTTAGTGCCAACATCTCCCAAATTTGTATCTCTGAGCCTGGCCACTCCAGATATACATATATATAATTTCCAGCTAATCACCTGCTTCATATATCATTGTGGTTGTCCAAAATAAAAATCTTGATCTTCCCTCAATGCAACCCACTCCCCCAAAACAAAAAGCTATTCCTTCTCTAATTTTCCTCCTCTCAGGAAATGGTTACTTCCACCCATCCAGATACCCGAGCCAAAAATTTAGTGGGTCCCTTCTTGATACTTCTCTCTCTTTCTAATAACTACATCTTATAACACCAAGTCCTATTTCTTATTCTATTTCTTTCTCTACTCCCACTATCCTAGTCCAGCCCACTATCATCTCTTGCTTGTACTATTGCAAAAGCCTTGTACTGTTGCAAAAGCCTCCTGGTTGGCGTACTGTTTGTCTTTTGACACCCTCCATTCCTTCCCTGCCACAACACCCAGGTTGATCTCTTCAGAATGTACATTGAATGTTAGCATTTTGCATAATTATATTACAATATCCAAACCATGAAACTGAATTTGGTGTACCACAGAGCTTATTTTCATTTCACTAGTTATACATGTACTCATTTGTGTATGTGCATAGTTCTGTGGAATTCTGTCACGTGTGTGGCGTGTGTAACTACCACCACAATCAAGATGGAGAACGATTCCATCCCAAGACTACCTTATGCTGCCTCTTTATAGTCCCTGGGCTTTCCTCCCCTAAATCCTAAATAATTAACACTCCTTTCTAGAATATTGTGTAACATGGAATGGAATCATAACAGTATGTAACCTTTTATAATTGGCTTTTTCCACTTAGCTTAATTCCTTTGAGTGTATCAATACTTTGTTCTTTATTATTGCTGAGTAGTATTCCGTGGTATGGATGTACCACAGATTAACCATTAAAGGACATTGGGATTGTTTCTAGGTTTTGGCTGTTATGGAAAAAGCTGCTATGAACATTTGTACACAATTTTGATGTGAACATAGATTTTTGTTTCTCTGGGATAAAATGCCCAAGCAATTGCTGGGTCATATTAGCCAAGCTCTTTTCCAGAGTGGCTGTACTATTTTACGTTTCCCAAAAGTGATGTGTGAATGATTCGATTTCTCTGCATTCTCACAGCATTTGATGCTATCACTATATTTTATTTCAGCACTTACCCATCAGCTACATGATAGGTGTGTAGTGATACCTGATTGTTCTTTTAATTTGTATTTCCCTGATGGCTAGTAGTGTTAAACATCTTCTCATTTGTTTATTTGCACCTGTATACCCTCTTCAGTGAAATGTCTGTTCACGTCTTTTGCCCACTTTCTAATTGGATGCTTTGTTTTTTCACTTTTGAGTTTTGGGAGTTCTTTATATATTCTAGATAAGTGCCCTTTGTCAGATTCGTGGTTTGCAAGTATTTTTTCTTAGTCTGTTATTTGTCTTTTTATCCTCTTAACAGGGTCTTTCACTGAGCAATAGTTTTTAATTTTGAGGACATCAAATTTACAGCTAATGTTTCCTTTTGTGAATCATACTTTTGGTCTCAGATCTAAGACCACTTTGACTAGTTCCAGATCCTGAAGATTTTCTATTCTCTTCTAAAAGTTCTGTGGTTTTATGTCTTACATTTAAGGCTTTGATGATTGATTGTGAGTTAATTTTTGTAAAAGGTGGGAAGTTTAGTTAGAGGTTCATCCTTTTGCCTATGGGTACCCAGTTGCTTCAGCAGCATTTGTTGAAAAGGTTATCTTTTCTCCATTGAATTGCTTTATTTATTTCTTTCTTTTTATTGAATTTTTTTAAGAGAGAGGGAGAGAGAGAGACAGAGACAAAGAGTGACAGAGACATCAATTGACCAGGGATCAAACCCGCAACCTTGGTATGTGCCCTGACTGGGAATCAAACTTGCCACCTTTTGGTTTGGGTAGATGCTCCAACCTACTGAGCCACACTGGTCAGGGCTGAATTGCTTTTGTACCTCTGTCAAAAACCAGTTGGACATATTTGTGTGGGTCTATTTTTGGGTTCTCTCTTCTGATCCATTAGTCTGTGTCTGTCCCTTACCAGTACCATCCTGTTTTCGTTAATTAGCTGTACAGTAGCTGCATTATCATAGGGAAGAATAAGTCTTCTCACTTTTCTTTTTCCCCCCCAAAATTGTTTGAGCTATTCTAGTTCCTTCGCCTTTCCATAAACTTTTTAAAATAAGCTTGTCTGTTGTCTGTAAAACACCTTGCTAAGATTTAGATAGGAATTGTGGTAAACCTATAGATCAGTTTGAGAGTTGACATCTTTACTATGTTGAGTCTTCTAAAAGTCCAATTTATTTACATCTAGCTTCTCTCGTTAGCATTTTATAATTTTCAGCATAGAAATACTGCACATTTTGTTAGATTTATACCTGAGTATTTCATTTTCTTTGACGCTATTGTAAATGTACTGTTTTTAGTTTGTTTCCATATAAACAGTACTTGGTGTTAGATATACAAGTACAACCAGTTTTTTGTGTGTTGATCTTATTACAACCTGCGACCTTGCTGAACTCACTTATTAGTTCTAGGAGGTTTTTTTTCATACATTCCTTCTGACAATACATAGATAATGTATAGATAATCATGGCCACATAAACAGTCATGTCATTTGCAGATAGGGACAGTTTTATGCCTTTTCAATTGTATGTCTTTTTTTCCCCTTGCCTTATTGCTCTGGTTAGGTCTTAAGTACTGTGTTGAATAAGAGTGGTGAGTGAGAATTTACATCCTTACTTTGTTCCAATATCAAGTAGGTGACATTCAATCTTTTACAATTAAGTATAATGTTAGATGTGGGGTTTTTTTTGGTCAACGGTCTTTTTTTAAGTTTAGGAAGTTCACCTCTATTCCTAGTTCCTGAATGTTTTTGTCATGAATGGGTGTTGAATTTTGTCAAATGCTTTTTCTGTGTCATTTGATAAGATCCATGTGAGTTTTCTTCTCTGGCCTGTTGATATTGTGGATTACATGCATTGATTTTCAGATACTGAATCAGGCTTGCATACCTTCTTGATCACTTGACCATGCTGTTTAATTCTCTTTATATGTTGCTGGATTCCATTTGCTAATATTCTGTTGAGGATTTTTGCATCTTAAGTTTATGGGAGATAATCTGCAGTTTCTTTTTTTATACTGGCTTTGTTTAGTTTGGGTATCAGGTTAATACTAATCTTATGAGTTGGGAAATGTTCTCTCCTTTTTTTCTTGAAGGATTTGTATAAAATTGGTGTTAATTCTTCTTTAAATATTTGATAAAATTGTCCAGTAGAACCATCTGAGCTTGGAGAGTTCTTTTACAGGAATTATTTGACATGTTATATTTTCATTTTTATTTATATGTATATTTCTGTGCTTCCTTTGAGACTTCCTTGATGACTCATGGGTTATTTAGAAATATGTTGTTTG